TGGCCCCGCGGTATCTGAGATCCGATAGAGTACAAGCATGCCGACCTACCCCTGTGAGCTACTTTAGTTGCAGTGGGGAGACGCATGGGCCCATGATTAGACAGGTCACTCTGTACTTTCCTAAATCCCGAAGAAACAGGTTGAGCTGTCCTGCACCCTGTCAATCGCCGTACCCACATCGTGCCATTTTAGAAACGATGTTTAAAATGTAGCATATGCGCTCGTCAGCGTACGCATGGGTATGCTTCCACACTTAATCTGGAGACGAAGTACCGATATGGAGAATGTCACCCTTTCTTAGGTTCCAGGGCTTCTACCGAATAGCTCACATTCACTGGTATGTCGCCTACCTCAACTGGTGCTTCGGGCAATGGAGCTCCACAAGGTATTTGTATGTCTATACCGCCGCTTTTGATTTACTTTTAGCCTTTTTTTTGGGAAACGAAATTCTAAAATTCGTTGACTATTGATCTGCAGGAATCTTTCCCAAAAATCGGGATATTCCTTATTTACTTACCTGGATGGCTGGTGCGTAATATAAGCGTGATAGATTCTTTCATGCTCGCATGTGCTCGATCATTATCTCCCTGGCTTCCTCCGCCTGCTTCTGTATATCCAGATCCCACAGCCAGCGGAGGCGCTGGTTCCACGTCTCCTTGAGTTTCTCTTCATCATCACCCACACCGTCCAAGCATAAACAGAGGAGGTACGCATTTTCCTTGCTACTAGTAACGACCCTTTGGCTTCGCGGTCGTCGGACCTCATCGTAAGCCTTGAAAGCAGCTACAGCATGCTCCGACTTAGTAACTCGCGCATCCCCGAGGAGCTCAGCAATCACATGAGCATCTTCAATAGCCTGTCCGGCGCCAGCACCCTGATGAGGTGTAGAGGCATGTGCGGCGTCCCCAAGGATGGCAACCTTTGACCGAGTGTACGTGGAGATATGAGGATGCTCGAAAATCGCCCATTGAGAGGGATCGGGCATGCGCTAGGTGAACCAAGTCAGCTGGTGTCTCAGTCAACATGGACGAGGGCCTGATTCCATACCTCAATAACGGCATTCACATATCTGCCCATATTTTTGGCATCCTTGCGCATCTCCTCCCTCTCGGCTGGTCGAACCCAGGTGTCACAATCCCATTTCTCACTCAAGATATACAGGCCGAAATTCACTTTCTTGGCCCGCATGATCGGATATGAGATACCGTATGCGCCGTTTCCGACATACATGGTGGACACCCTCGCACGTTGGTCGCCGACGGCCTCCACCATCTCATCCATATCCAGTACAGCACGATACCCGTACATTCCACTGTACTGGGGTTGTTTTACCTTTGACTCTTCCGGCAGCATCGACTCCTTTACCTTGGATTTGATTCCATCACATCCAACAACAACATCAGCGACGGCCGTCGTGCCATCGTCAAATCGCAAGGATACACCCTCGGCCGTTTCTTGGAGACTCTCCAGTCGCTTCCCAAATTGCACAATCTCGGGAGGAATCAGCTTCACTAACGCATCAAGAAAGTCCGCTCGGCGCAAGGTTGTCTGCCCCGACGGAAGCGCCTTCAGGTTCATCAGCGTGTCACCCTCTCGGTCACCGCTGGCCCATACAATCTCAAACCATGTTTGGCGGAACTGCTCGTAGCCAGGGCTATCTGCGTGAGTTGTGACGAGCGAGTCATAGATCTCTCGAATTTGAGGGTCAATGAGGGGCATAGTACGGTGAGCGGCAGGGCCAATCGACAGGCCAAGGCCGATCTCAGCGAAGGCGGGTGCCGCCTCGTAGATCTGGACGGGTACTTTGCGTCGCAGAAGACCGGCGGCAAGTACAAGGCCGCCAATCCCACCGCCGACAATGGTGACGGTGAAATCCTTGGATGGTTCCATGCTGCCCATGTTTGACTTGGAACACCTTTTACTTTTTTTTTCTTTTTTTCTCTCTTTTTCTTTTCTTTTTCGCAATCCGGTTCAGGTAATGATCGTTAAGCTTTTCTGAGACTACTCACAAGGAATGTGCGTCCAGATCAGGGTGCTCCTGCAGGCTAAGATACTGAAAATGGCTATGTGGAGCGTGGGTCAGTTACAGTCACAACTCATTAAAAGCAGAGCCAGGACATGGCGTGATTTGAACTTTGGGTCGTAGCGATCATTTACCTTAGTAATTCCAATCAAAATACGCCCCAGCCAGCCATGCGTGTCCAATACAACATCGGAGATATCCGAACGATCCGGGAGGCGAGCGGTTGGTTCAGACTTAATATGTCCGTTATTAATTCGAGCAGGGATGTGGCAGAGAACTCCACGAGGGGCACGGCGATTCGCATGGCTAAAATAAGAGCGTCGTATCGGCCGATGCGCCATGACAGGGATCGTGTGGAGGTCAAAGTTCGACGGCGTCCCGGGCCGTGTGGGGTCGAGACAAAAGGACGAGAGATCCAACGTTTGTTCGGCTGAACCGTGGTTCTCTCGCTGTGTGTGTGTGTGCCGGATCCTACGCTGGGTGTAATCAATGAGAAATTCAAGCCAGTGTCCGCCGACATTCTTCGGACCAAATATTTCCGCCGGAATGCAAGGGCAAGACATGTGTAGGGGGTGGCCTCGGCAAAGCTTCTTACGGGAATTAGTGGTTCTTCGACAGGGTATCCCTGTGCTGAAACGAATCCTTGCCCCTCCCTGCTAGACTTGATTATTATTTCTTCTTCTTCTTCGTTCTTGTTTGTGCATCTCTGCCTTGGCACTAAAAAAAAAGAAAAAGAAAAGAAAAGAAAAAGAAAAAAAAAAAAAAAGACTATGGTTGTCTTCGCCCGATAAGCGCTCCCATTCCCCTGTGATTGTCACCGCAGACCATCATACCTCATGGAGAGGTCAACAGTACCATCTGATGGCGGCGACGTCTCTAGAGCGTCGATGGTCACGGTACCGACCATTGCTACAACCATCATTGCTTTAATCCTCACATTATTACGGCTATATGTGCGCCGGTACATGATTCGAATGTTGTCCTGGGATGACTGGTTCAATGTCTTTGCGATGGTGAATCTTGAGTTTACGTGGAAGTGCACACTCTGGATCCTTGGCTGACCCGATATCACTTCAGTTGACGCAATTGGTTGTTCTGGGACTGGTTCTTGGAGCAACCTCGCATGGTTTTGGACGACATGTAAAATATGTCGGCCATGAAAACGCGACTTACAGCATGAAGCTTTTGCGGATATGCGAGTTTTTATTAATTTTCACAACAGTCTTCCTCAAGATTTCAATTAGTCTGTTTCTCAAGAGGCTTTTGTAAGTGCCGATACTGGGGTCTCGCCCACCGTCACCCTGCGGCTAACAGTGGTGTCCAGCCTCACAAGCAAGAAATGGAGGGTTTTCTTCTGGTGCTTTATCGCCTTTAACACCATTACCAGTGTCCTCGACGCCGCCGTTATATTCCCTCAATGTACCCCCGTGGAGCTTAACTGGGATAAGTCAGTGGATGGACACTGTTGGTCGGCTTCTGCGATCGATGCGATTGGAATCGCCCAAGGAAGTACGGCTCCCGCTCATTTGATGCCGGTATAATCTGACATGATCTACGTAGCGATTGCTGCATCAACAGACTTTGCTTTGTCCATTCTGCCAATTATTTTCCTATGGAACATCAAACTCCCGAAGAGAGTGAAACTGGGCATATGCGGGATTATGGCCCTGGGGTTCGCGTGAGTAAATTATGGGCATAAATATTTGGAAGATGTTTGCTGATTGAAGGGCGGGACTATCAGGAGCGGCGGTTTCGCAATTGCTCGCACTGTCCTGGTTCCTAGTTTAATGGAAACGAAAGATCCGACGTGTGAGTATATGTCTTCTTGCGTTCCAGGTCATTCTTGTATGATTGAGCCGATCATTGATAGTGCTATTATCTAGGGGATCTGGTTGACCTATTCATGTGGGCAGTGTAAGTTGTCCCGGACTAACGAATACTCCATCATCTTGAAAAAGAAAAAGCGATGCTGACTTGTCTCTGTCGTAGACTGGAAGCGACATTCGGTATTATTGCTGCTGCTGCTCCATCTGTCCGACCGCTCCTCGGCCATAACTCCGTGACTACGAACTACTATTCTCGTGACAAATCTCATTCTCTACCACTCCGGAACACGCGCACCGGGCGAAACTCGCGAATCGACTGGGGACATACAGTATTTGATACTCGAAACGAGCCAGACGAGAGAGATGACTATGGCGGGGACAGCGAGTCTCAAATTCGCCTTGATGACCGGGGCATCATGAAAACCACTTCCATTGAGGTGGTCACCACGCTAGGGCATACTTTGGAGAGTGACATGGATCGGAGACCAACTTCGGAGGAGAGTGCCGAAAGGAGATACGTCCAGAACACCATATAGATTTACGATGCGATCTGAAATTGAAACATGACCACGAACCAATCTTAGGCACTCCACACAGGATCAGGATGTAGTCGGAGTAAAATGGACAGGACCATTTACTTCGTAGCCTAATGGTATTCATATCGAAGCGTTCTTGGCATTATCAGTGCTCCATCGGAAGTATATTGGCGGTCCAATGAAGACGGCCGGGCGATCCTCCTGATCAGTAATAAGCGTTACTAACCAGTCTTAGCTCCAAGCCAACTCGTGCACTAACAAACCCTAACCGCGAACCGTCGCTCCTTAGCATCCGCGGAATGTCACCCCGTCCGCAAGCCAGCAAGACGGGGTCTTCTTCGGAAACCCAGTCAAGCCGCTCCTGGAGAGATTTCTACCTGAGACGAGCGATTAATGAATCGTTGCCGCGGACCCTTGTCGTCATGAACCTATGGCCGAGGTTACATCTACTAGTATGCAGGGGTCAACTCTTCGCTTCGTTCGAAGGTAATTTAGGTTGGAAATAACCCCTGTACGTAAGGTTCTAATGAATAATAAAATCTGCAAATCATCAGTGCGAGTATAAATCACATGCCCTGCAGTTCATGAAGAAGAAATCCTTCGGAGAAATTAGCCTTTTTGCTTTTTTTTTTTCCCTCCCTGTCAACGTCTGGTAAGCTCTCTGCAAGTGGTTGCACGTTCACCATGTCTGCAACAGAGCAAGAGGACAAGTACCCCTCACCGGATGTGATGGTCGCCGGTGGAAGCGATCAGTCTTCCGAATATTCCAAAAAGAATGACAATGGCATCGTCCTCATTCCTCAACCGAGCGATGACCCGGAAGACCCCTTGGTATGTGAAATGATCTTGGACCCCGGCATACCATATCGCGATGCACCCCTCTAACAGTCTTCCAGAACTGGCCCATGCATAAGAAAATTACCATATTTGCATGCATTTGCCTGGCCGGTTTTGCGGGTCAGATGTCGCCCAATTCCAACCAACTCACCTTCATCTACCAAATCCCAGCATATCACAAGACTCAAACCGACCTCCTAAATTCGGTTGCGGCTGGTCTAGCAGGATGGGTCGCAGGTCCTTTCTTCGTGATTCCTCTTGTGGGTGTTATTGGTCGCAGTTCAGTGGTATTCTGGAGTCTGGTGGCTATTTTCGCCTGCCAGATCTGGGCTGCCGAGATGACGGGTGCAAATGACTATATCTCCTTCACCCTCTCACGACTCTTCTGCGGCATGTTTGGTGGTATCCCTGCTATCCTGGGCAGCGGTTACATTATGGATATGTTTTATCTGCACCAGCGGGGTAAAGCATTTGCTATCTTCGAGGTCCTTATCATCTTTGCTGTCGTCGGCGGTGGCACGCTGGGCGGTTTCATTGCGGAGCGCAAGCCGTGGAACTATGTCTTCTGGTGGACGCTGGGCCCTGTCGGCGCCGCCATCCTTGCTGTGTTCTTCTTTGTTGAAGAGACTACTTTCCCCCGGGACCCTTCCATGCCGAAGCGTGCTCCCCTACCCAAGGGCTGGCTTGCCAATCGCATCGCCACCTTCTTGCCGGGTACCAAAACACAACCATCGGGCAAGGGATCGGAATTTGTAAGCACCCACTGATAGCATCTAAGAGTGCTCTGCCTACTATCTACTCAGAATCCGGGTAACTGACAGTCGCCTTAGGTCCGCAGAGCAATCACCCCGCTCCAAATCACATTTACCCCCATAACGCTGCTGACAGGAACCTACATTTTCA